TTATTTTATATATATAAGATAATATTTATTATTAAGAAAATAAATATGGGGTCTTTGCAATAGAAAGGGAGGAAACTCCAAAAAAATTAAAATTTTAGTTTATAAGCCAAAAATGTTTCAAATACTATAATTTGTTCAGATTTATTATTAACTCATTTTTTATTTTTTTTTGAGTTTCCTCCCTTTCTATTGCAAAGGCCCCATATTAGAATTTTAATAATAAATACTATTATATATATTAAAAGCAATATATGGGAGCTGATCTAAGAAAATCAAAATCTGATTCTAATAATTTATTAAGTTCAGACTTTGATTTTATTAGATTAATTTCTATATTATTAAAAGAGCAATAGATTTATTATTATTTTTTTTTTAATAATTAAATACTATTTTACATATTAGAAGTAGTATTTATTATTATAGAACTATAGATTTATTAATTTTAATACAGTCAACTCTTATTATAATGAATTCTATATCCTAGATCTCAACTTCACTATAAGGTTATAGTGAAGATTTTAAGAGATTTGGTTGGTCAATTCGCTATAACAAGAGTATTTTTATTATAGTTGTTCAAAAAATTCATTATATCAAGAGTTCGCTATATCAAAAGTTGACTATAATAAATTATTATTTTATATATCAAGTCATAAAATCATAAGTCATATGATTATATTATCATATATTATAAAGTCATATGAAAATCATATAACTTATCTAATTTTAACTAGCTTTATAAATGATAATTATTATATTTTTATTTTAAGTTTTGGAAAAAAATAAAGGCATTTATCTTTTGTAAAATTAAATTTATAATACTGTCTAAATTAAGTCATATGACAAAGTTATATATATTATAATCCTTTACAAATGACATTTGACCATGAATGATTATTATGAGAGGTACCAAGATTTAAAGCGGAAGGTAAATACATTAGAGGGAAGTTAACGGTTTAAAATAAACTGGTTTCAAACCGGACATGCAAAGTTTTAAGTACTGCGTGTAACCACAGTTTTTAGTCTGCTAATTTCTGACATCAAAAACTATAATGCAATAAAAATCAAAATTTTGTTAAAATATCCAGAGCCTTTACGAGAATCGAATATACATATGATATACGGAAGCACAAAACTTTTCGTTCGGATTAAAATTTGGTCGGAACATGTTCACAAAATGTTAATAGCATTTATTTATTAGAAATACGTATGTTTTTTACTGCATTATATTAGCAAAAAAGGTCAATTGAAAAAATGTAAATAAAAATGTTGGAAGATTCCTAATAAAAGCAATTCTTTATGTATGCTTCGCCGCTATTCATTAATAATAAGTCGATAAATTTATAATTATTTATAAAAATAACAAATATAGTATCAATTAATACTACAACTTTTCCACCTGGGTTTAATTTCTTCTTTATGTTCGGTTGAAATAAATTCCTCTACACTAACCACATCTGACCCCATGTCTCTTTCTTTACCGTTGAATGGAACAGAAGCAGGTGGTTTTAAAGGATCCACATTATGCTCACGATTTTCATCCGGGCAAGGTTTTAAAGGTTGCACGGAAATATGGTGATTTTTATAACCCCCTTCATCCAAGCAACTTTCTAAATTAGGATCCAAAACCCACTGATTATCCACAACAAATTTATAAAAATATTTTTTATTGGGTGATAAATTCAAAATCACTTGATGATTATTGTTTGAAATTTTTGGCATTTCAATTGGAATCCATGTTGGTATTGGAGGATCAAATGAACCAGCTATAGCAACATGGTCACCCTCTTTCGACCATATGAACGTAGTTGGAACTGTTTTTTGATCTTTTTCTAGATCAGTTAGATCTTTCGTCATTTTTTGATGTCTAAAAAAGAAATAGTATGCAGTATATTATATGACATTAGTTTTGCTTTACCAAGATTAAAAAAAAAAATTAAAATGATTTGGATACTCACATATAGGATTAGGTATTATGTATGTATTTTTAAAAAGGTTTAGATAAGCGTAAAATATTTGTTTCTAAGGTAAAGTACTTTTTTCTCCGTTTCTTTTAAATTTTTTTTTTTTTTTTTTTTTTTTTTTTTAAAAAAAAAAAAAAAGAAAAGAAAAGAATAAAGGGGAAAAAAAAGGTGTCGGAGTTTAGTAATATTTATTGAAAGAAAAAATTTAGGGGGATAAATTTTTTTTTTTCGCTAAAATGACAGGTGAATGATGAAAGTAATACACGTTTAAAGCGTCAAAATACTTCACGTATATTTTTAGTTAAATCTTTTTTGTATTTTAATACATGATCATAAGACGATTTCCTTTAAAAAAGGTTAGGTAGAATTATTATTAATAAAATAAAAAAGGCTGAAAATTTTATCACGTATTAATTTAGTTAATTCGAGACTTTCTTATTCTAATACGAAAAAATAAAAAAGAAACTTTTATGGTAACATTTTTGTTGGAATTAATTATTCCCATATAATCACCCATTTTTAAAGGTTTGTTATGATTGTGATTATATGGAGAGAATTTTTATAAAAATGTCTATCAAAAAACGTCAAATTTAAAAATCTCTCCTTTTTTATAAAAAAACATTTTATGTCCTTTTTTCCCTATCATTTCTTCAACGCGTGTTTCACCCAAAGTTGTTTATGTAAAAAGTATTTGGGAGTTAATATTAAGAAAATAATTGAAAAAAAATCAAATTAAAATATAATCACATCGTTTCCTGGTTTTTTTCTTATGAATTTTTTTTTTTTGTGTGATTATCATTCATTTATAGTCATTATTAGCATTTTAAATCTTTGGAAATTATCCTGTCCAATTTCTTTATCATGGTTTGTGATATGAATTCATATTTAATATAACGAAGGTTTAATTACTAATTATAAAAATAAGGTAGCAGATGCCGATCTGTAAATAAATGGCGTGATGTTTTAAAATACAAGCTTTTTTTGTTTTCTTTTTAATTACTTTATTCATATGATTTTTAAATAGCAATGGGATTACGAAAGTTGGGTACACATTTTCTCATGAAATTTCATTATTGTGTTGACATATGTTGATAACATTAAGTCAAAAGTTTTTCTTGTTTTGGCTTAATTCCTGCCAAAAGAGGAATTAGATGAGTTTCTCATAAACCTTGGTTTGTTCAAAATAAAAATAATAATAATTAATAATAAATATAATAATTAACAATTATAAACGTTTAGTGCGATTTTGGAATTATTATTTTATAAAATAATTTTAATTGATATATTTTAGCAAAGAATTATCGTATGTCCGCAGCTCAGTATTTTTTTTTTTAGTTTATTAATTTTTACAAATCTTCTCGTTTATCTCTGTTGTACCAAAGAAATTTTGGGTGATAAAAACCACAGCAGTATCACTTTAGTCAATAATATGGAAGTGATACCTCTGTTAGAAAATAATGTTATCTTAATGTATTTCTCTGTAATTGGTATTCTGGCGTTATATTCGGATCGATTAAAAACCCGACATTGGATATTATCGTTATTAGTTTTCCGATGGATAGTTTTGTATATATATATATATATATTATTTTATTCTTCCTAATTGGTTTTCTTATGCATAGCTTCAATTTCTTTTTATGCGAGAGTAACTTCCGCATTGCATTTGCCGCAGTAAACAAAGTCTTAAACTTGGGTCAAAGGCTTGACATTTCAAAAACAAATTAATAAATAAAGGATAATTTACTGTAAGCCATTGAATAAACGACAATAATAAAGTTCCATCTCTAACTATCAACAAATCACCCAACATTACCTCTTTTTGTCTCTTTGAAAAATTTAGTATTAACTTGTTGTTTTACCATCAATCTCTTTCATAGAAATTCTTTGAACCATTTGCAAGCTCTGAGAACCAAATTTAACCCACGGTATAAATTCAAACTATTCTAATTGCTACGTATTAAATAAATATAAAGTTTCGAATCTAAGATGGTGAAAAAAAAAATCTAAAAACATTTAACGAATAACTTACCTAATTTCTCAAGTTAATAGAAATTATGATTTAGGACGGTAACTAATTTGTTCGCAAGATTGATTACCATGTTATCTGACACGTAAAATGCGATCAGCGCGTTGTGCTAGCCAAAATCCCCATCAAATATTATAATGCAGAGATTTATATTATTACAAATATAACCGAAGAAAAAGAACAGTTGTATGACCATGACAATAATAACAGCACGTGTTCTGAACCTTCGTCGATTCAAGGAACACCCTAAAGTAAGAAACCCTATTTACTCTATAAACAACTAAGCAGTGATGTGCATTTATGCTTCCAATAGTATAAAATTTGATTGGAAGCTTCCAATCCAAATGAATTTATTAGAGAATTATTCTTCCAACCCTTCCAAAGTGCTTCCAAGGTGCTTCCAATCTTCAAAGTGCACATCAATGGTTATAGGGTAGGTACATCACTTCAATAAATTAATTCTCTCGAGAAAATACTGAAAGCAGCAAAATTGATCCTTTTGAAAGTCAAATATCATAAAATTAGACATCCATATTTGGCTAATATCCAACCTTATCTCAAATTTCACGTGAGATTTTAGTGATGCTTGCTTCGGAGCAGGCCAGAAACGGCTAGAGCAAGCCCTTTGTTTAAAAAAAAGCAATTCAAAAATGGATTAGTAAAGGGAAGCAGATCAACACATGATATACTGTACCATTGTTATTTTTTTAATCGGTTTCATTAAAATAATATAAATGTTTCACGCAGTCCAAAGGATTGGGAACTCTATCTTAAGTTTACCCGTTTGTCGAACGCAAATCGTCTAATTTTGTAATCAACTTTGTCATTTAAAGGGATATATTTTATCCTTTTACGGTTTGCACCCTGAAATCGTCTGAGGTTACCTAAATGTTATTGTTTCTGAAAATGGTCATTTTCATACCACTATATAAACTTTTTCTAAGAATTCTTTTTTATTTTTATTTTTATTTTCCTTTCAAATTGTAAATACCGCGAGAGTAACAACTAGCACCATGAGTAATGATACTTTCCCAAATCACGCGGATCTACCATTAATTAAATTCGATACAAATAAGGACCCTCCCCCCTCGCAAAATAATAAAATTTACGTGAAAGCACTAACAATCAATTCAAATGAAATCAAATTTTCATATCAAATCATGCCAAACAGCAGGATCCTTGCTGTGGTGGAACCTGATAAGATTTTAACGGCCGATTTCTCGGGTTTATATTTTGAAGGGCAATCGTCTTCAAAATACATCATAAGAATCCTTACCGAGGGTATTGTCATCAATAATAAAAAATATAATTACCTTGGGCAATCGAATTCGTTGATAAAAGATCGCAAATGCGTTTTATTGGAAGCGGATGAACGTGAAATAAAGCGATTTCTTGATAAATTCGGTGACTGGACCAAATTTAATAATACCGCAAAATTGGCAAAAAGGATAGGCTTATTGTTTTCAACTGGGAATAAAGTAATCGATTTACCCTTCGACATTAACGATAATAACGTTCTCTTAGATGATGTCATGAAAGATGATCATTGCTTTACGGATGGGTGTGGATTAGTTTCTAAAGATATAATTCGAGAAGTTTCAAACAAGTTAAAGATAAGATATCGTAACAAGCGTTACGAACCATCCGTAATTCAAATCCGTTATCGAGGGTTCAAAGGAATTTTGTTGTTAGGAACCGATTTAAAAGGATGGGAATGTCGTTTTCGAAAATCAATGAAAAAATTCGAATACCGAGCAGATAATTCCTTTTATGTCGTTGAACATTCAAAGCCCTACGCGTTCGGGCGTTTGAACACGCAGATTGTAATTCTTCTATCATCAATTGGTGTACCTGATGATGCATTTCTGCATAAACAGGAACAGCACTTTGAACGTTTGAATACAATGTTCACGGATTTATCCGTAGCCTTCGAATTTCTCTTGACAAACGGTGAAGTGGCTCTAGCCGACGAGCTATTTGAGAATGGATTCACGAAGAAAATTATCGAATATTTAAATCAATCCTACAATAAAGAGTTGGGATCTTCATTAAAAACAAAAAAAGTCCGCAGCGGTACAGTTGAATCAGAAAAGTTGCGCATCATAGTGAGGGATTCGCGATTGGCGTTCGGGGCATCGGACCCTACCGGGAAGTTAAAAGAATACCAATGCTTTTTTAGACCTATCATTAATAACAAACCGATCACAATAATCGGTCCCATTTTTTATGTTCGAAATCCCTGTTACCACCCGGGGGATATCGTTGTGCTTAAGGGGGTCCATCTTCCTGAATGTGAAGATATTGTCGATGTATTATTGTTTTCCGTGAACGGAGATGTTCCCGCAGCACATAAATCCGCCGGTGGCGATTTGGATGGTGACAAGTTTTTTGTCTGCTGGGACAAAGAACTAATGCCACGGGAGTCGGTGGAACCGTACGGATATCCTGGGGGAAAGGATGCCGTCAACCATAACATCCAACGTTCGGATCTAATTAAGCACTTCGCCATGCACAGCAATGCTGGAGTTTCTCGGTGTGCCTCTCTATTTTTGAAATGGGCCGAGACAAAAGGTCCAAGATGTCTTGAATGTCTACAGATCAACAAGTTGTTTTCAAATGCCGTGGATGGCCAACCTGTAAAAATCCCTAGTTATTTGAATCTTCTTCCTGAAGTTGACGATCAAATTGTTCAAAATCGAATTTGGAACAAACTTGTTAATATCGCGGAAAAAAAAAGGGAAGAAAGCAAATCATTAAATAAGAACAAAGACCTTTCTCTTAAGTTGAAAATGGGACGAGAAGAGTTGTGTACGTTTCTGGAAGAGGATTGTTCCGAAGCAACAGATTACGAATTGTTATGCTTCCTTATTCGATGGTGTCATGTCAACGACACAGACATCAAAGAGTTTCTATATTATTTAGACTTTACCACATTTACCATGGATGAAAAGAGAGCTGCAATTGCGACGGGAAGAGTTCCCACAGCTCAAATTCTTAATGCAATACATGATTCAGATATCCTGGATTGCAAAAAAATGATTAATTATTTTAGCCTCGGTGAAGAAAAAAATCACTGGAAATTATTTCATAAAGATAGCGAAATACAGTACTCTACTGGTATAACACCTGATATTTCGAGAGCCATCGCAAATTTTCGTAAAGTATTCATTGCCCTCAAATTTGATCACGAATTAAGCGTTTGTATATCATTATATGGTGAATTCGAAATCGAAACCGAAAACGATGCAGATGGTAAAATAGATATTTATGGATTCAATAGAAGTGGGACCATCATAAATAAAAAGTCATGTACGGGCGGTTACAAGCTTTGGTTCAATGATAATTACATTCAAATTTATCATTCAGACAAGCGTAACTCTTTTGTTTGGCTTGGCAGCCCCAAACATCTACAAGCGGATGTAATTTCGCTAAATGACTTGGACGTAAAGTCTTCCGTAAGTGTCGCTATAGATAAATTGAGTCACACTACTGCGAAAAAGACCAGCAGGATACGAAAAAAGAAGTTGTGTATGTCTGAAATTTATGTCGTAAGCAATCGAGATGGAATTCACACAAGATTACAAGTGGTAAATCCCGAATACAGGGTAAATATGGAAAAACCGGACGTTGATGAAGATTATAATCCGGCAGACGCAAATAATGTCAAAGATGAGAACGATAAAAAATTATTATCCCTTCCTCTTACCGCCAAAAAATTAAGTGAGCTTATAGAGAGGATGGAGTGTTGGATTAAATATGGTCTCTTCGGTAGGGTAATTAAAGCATATGAGATCTATTTAGATGATAATAAATCCGAATCTGACCTACAAAAACTAGTCGAATTTTCAACGAAAATTCCAATTGTCTATGGTTCACTGATTAAAATGATACAAAAACATACTTTAGAAGTTTCGAGTGTTACATTAGTTAGCTTGATCGGAACTTGCTTGAAAGCAAGTAAATGTAAAATAGATACGGTGGTGCTGGAAAGTGTAAAGAATGTGCTTAATTGTTGCGTTTCGATTAGCATGTTTCAATTATTCGAGATAATCAACCATCTCGTTATTCATTATCCGTGTCCTAAAGTGTTGCTGGAGGAATATCAAGAAGGCGAAAGGGAAGGAAAAAACTATTTGGAAGATTTATTTGATATCATTAAACAAAAACTGGAACCGCCAGTTAATATTCCTGAGGCAGCTATTACACATTTTATGCACCTGGTCAAGATATTATGTATTCAAACCTTGGAGGAAAGTTACTCAGAAAATCAAAAAACTCCTCGAAACCGTTATCGAGCGCGTCAAAATCAAGCAAAAGCCAAAAACAGAGTTAATCTCATGTCGACGGGATCAGCTCAGATAAGGCTCCGACCTGGTGATCTAATTATACTAAAACGACTTAATAAAAAGTCAATCGAGCCAATTTCCGTCATACGAGCGGTGGTAATAACCATGGAACCGGAAGCATCTATAGAAGTTTCATGGGTTCCTCGCGATATGTTAATGGCAACGTGGAAAGTAAAGAAAGTTGGTAATATAATTGGATTCAGACAATCCATGGAAGCATTCCAAAAATTGTACCCAGCACAAGATGAAATTTCTCCTCTACTGGAAAGAATCATCGAACCGCAAAATTTCGACAGAACTATTGCGGCTAATGCAACGGACACGACGGATGAAGGTTCGTCAACGACATCCTCTAACCAAGCACTTAATCGCAGTCAACGGGAAGCAATTGAGAGAGGAAAAAACGGAATCCTTACACTTTGGCAGGGTCCTGCGGGAACCGGAAAGACTAAAAGTATTTATCAACTAATACTAAACCTTCTTGATCTTGACCCAAAGTTACCCATACTTGTGACAGCAGCAACAAATGCTGCAGTGGATAATATAGCGCTGCTTTTGGTTAAGCTCGAAGGTATCAAAACCATTCGTGTCGGGGAAACGAGAACACCGGAATTATTTCCGATTACTCTTGAGGCTGGATTAGATGGTTCGTTCCGACGAATAAATTCTAAAAAGGGACAAGAACTTCTAAAGAGTGCAAAAATCATTTGTGCCACTTGCGTCGGGAGCGGTACTAGTCTTTTGGAGAAAATCGAATTCGAATTTGTTATCGTTGATGAAGCCTCGCAGGTTTCTGAACCCAATTGCCTCATTCCGTTGGCAAAAACATGTAAACGTTTCCTATTGGTGGGTGATCATAAACAATTGCCGCCATTTTGTCATCCCATCGCCCACAAAGCAGGTTATTCCGTTTCGCTATTTGAACGAATGCATACCAGTTTGTATCCATTCAACTTGCTGGATACACAATATCGAATGCATCCGGGTATTTCCAAATTCCCGAATGACGAATTTTACCAAGGAAGGTTGAACGATGGAATAGGTGCCGTAGATAGACCTTTGGTGGGAGGATTTAATTGGCCGAATCCAAAAGTTCCTGTTACATTTGTTCAAGTTTCTGGAATCGACGAGCCAGGCAAAGGTGGATCCAGATATAATGAAAAGGAGGTTGAAAATATCATTAACACAGTGAAGAAGATTGTAGAAACTGGAGGCGTGGAAGCAAAAGAGGTTGGCATCATTAGTTTGTATAACGCCCAGTTGGAGAAGATAACAGGAAAATTAGGCATTAATGATATTGAAGTCAAAACCGCAGATGGGTTTCAAGGAAGAGAGAAAGAGCTAATTCTCATAACTTGCGTCCGTTGCAACGATAAAGGAAATATCGGATTTTTAGAGGATCCTCGTCGTTTTAATGTCATGCTTACACGGGCAAAGAGAGGGCTTATCATCTTTGGGGATCGAAAAACCCTTTGCACAAATGAAATGTGGAAACGATGGTTTTCATGGGTCGATTCAAATGGGCTGATTTATAGATTAACGTAAGAAAAAAAAAATATTTTCAACAAAGCATGGATATATAAAGAATGATTGTAATATGTCGCAAACATATATTTATTTACAAATAGTTTTAATTTATTAACGCGCTTTTAAATTTGTATATTTGTATTAAAATTTTGTTGATGAGAGTTAAGTTAATGTATACCTGATCAATTTTTGATATATAAAATAATTTTGTGATAAATCAACCATTACGATCAAAGGAATATTGATTGGGTACCAAATTTTATCTTTTTTGGAATTGGGAGTATTATATCATAATTTTTTAAAGTTCGTGCTTTTTCAGTAAGGGTTTATTTGAACAACCTTCGGGTCCTCTTGTGGAGGAATTAAGCGATTTTGATTGTAATAACATTTGAAGAACAATAAATTATACGATAAGCACTATTTTTTCAATAAACTAGGTAACGGGAACCGTTGTAATGTCCGAAGCGTTATTTAAATTTAATTTCATCTGAAAATCAGATCATGTGACAACATAACAATACATCTTATTGGTCGATCACGCGTGCGGACAGACGGACATTGCATCAAAATGAAGCTGAGGAAAAATCACATGATACATACTTTTTTTGATTTTTAAAATCGGCACAAACAACAGTTATTGACCAACGAGTTCTAAAAATTTGAAGAATCTTGATTATTGCGATGAAATGAAGTTAAAAAAACTAATTATACAAGGACAAGTACGTATAGATTTGTTAAAACGCGTCTTTATTTGGATAATATGTCTTTCCGTAAAATTTTTAAGCAAATGCAAAAATGATGTGATCTTTAATACGCGTAAAATATTAAAATGTACGCATTCTTGGGTAGATAATTTACAAATTGACAAACTTTTTTTTTAATGGGTAATCAATCATATTGTAAAAAATAAAAATAAAATTATCGACATCATTATTTACTAAATATTTAAAATCGAGTTTACTTACACTTTTTACAAGTCCATACACGGTTTATCCTTGGACGAAACTTGCCAAACAGACTTTTTAATAAGAAAAAATAAAAAAAACTTCTTTATTTGAATGAATTAAATTCAAAAATCAAAATGAATCATAAATATGATTTTAATTTTTTAACAAATAAAATGTCAAAAAATGATTTATTAAGTGAAAGGATATGTTCTTAAAATATCATTTCGAGAATTATTTGCTTAGATCCATCATCGCTCGCTTAACTAAAATAGAAATGAAACGCGTCAATCGCAAAAGATTGGCTTAAATGAAAACATTGTGGTCGATTACAAGATCTCTTCCACTTTCACACTTTCACGACACGAAAAAAACATGCCTAAACATACGAAACCTCCTGTTCCTTATATTTTTGACTGTGAACCACTGGCTATCTCCCCTTTTACAAAACCTAAAAGGACCAAAAAGAAAGCTCACTTTTATTTCAGAAAAAACGTAAACCCGAACAAAAAATCTATTTCCTTCCTCATATCAAATGTAAAAAGATAAAGGGATACCCCTTTTTCCAATCCGAAAGAATTTTTCACTTCTCCTATCAAAGATGAACCGACAAAACGGGTTACTTCTCCTTTCAAAGGTGAACCGGAAGAACAGTTGTTTGTTCCCAATCATCCTTTGACAGAAGATAAGGATTTGATTACACATATAAAACCCGAACCCTACGATCTTTCTGTTGATCAATTTAAAGAAATGCCTATACCAAATTCAGGATCTCCTTTTTTCTGGCAATTACAATACAAATTACTTGATGACAATATTACACAACATAATCAGAAATCCTGAGGCGTCGATCCGTTGAGAATTGTCCTTACCTTCTTCCTAAGGTTAACTTGAGCATTGGTTTAGGATCCAACCCTCTGTCACAAGAATTGATCCGTTGCCACCTTTAGTTATTACTTACGAGATTCATCATTTTTCTCGTGTCTTTTGTAAACTATGCCAAACGACGTTTTATAAATTATGAAAATTATAATAGGCACATTAAAGATGATCATGGAATTAGGATCTTTGTGTGCGATATATGTAAGGATGTGTTTTATAATGGGGGAATATATATGAAACATATTGAAAAACATAGAGATTATTCGAATGTACGATCTGTCATAGGAAATTGAATTCTCTTGATGCGCATCAACAACAAAAACATCCGCAGGAAGTATGTAATTTTAATTTCTATAAGATTTTCATTTTCATTTTATTTCGCCAATTTAATGAACCTTTGATTTAAGGTCGAGATATAAACATTTGACTATTTTTAAAATATGATTTTTTTTTTTAAAAAAAAAAAAAAAAATTTCATTTTGTAAAGTTTAAATTATTATATAAATTTGGCAATACATATTAAGAAAACGAGAAAGTTATTTTGTTATGAAAGTTTGATACAATAATCTCCCATAAAAAGTTTCGTTGTACCTTGAAACTAAAATTAAAAATAAAAACCTAGTATCCTGTACATACCTTAGAATTCAATTCTAGACGTGAAAAGTTTAAAATATTGACAGATTGACTTCTTTTTTGTGCCCTTAATACAGATATTGGCCATAAATTAAGTAACGACATACTAATATGCTTGCAAAATATGGTCAAAATAAAAAATCAAAATCAAAATATTACGTGTGCTACGTGTGGTAGATTATCATTGATAGCGTGTGAATTTTTATCCGCGTTGATCATCACAATATTTTCTGTATAAATTTCAAAATAAAAAACCCCCAACCTCTTCCTCAAAAATGTTTTCTAATACAGGTTTTGGACTTGGACCTTCAAACTCAACCTTTCTTCAAACACAACCTTTCAATAATAATGATGATGGTTCTTTGGAAATTTATTTACACAAAATTATAGAGACGCCAAAAGGAAGAAAAGTTGAATGTAATTTATGTAAAAACATTTTTAATAATTTGACTACGTTTAATAATCACGTTAAAAAAAAGTATGGTTATAAACACTTGTGCAGAATTTGCTGCAAAGTTTGTACTGATGAAATCAACCTAACTTCTCATATGAAAGAAGCTCATAAACAATTTCCTTGTGACCATTGTCAAAAAGTTTGTTGGGGTTATCATGGATTAAAAAATCACGTCAGACGTGTACATCTTGGAGTAGAACCTCCTCCTGCTTCTAAATTTAATTCCGTTGACAATTTAAATAGTAAACCGATGGTTGTTCCAACTCTCCTCACTGATGTTCCATCAGTAAAAAATAATCGCAGATCAATTATCAAGGATCCGGTGTTTCTTCACGAATACCAATACGACGATACCACCACACTGATATGTAAACTTTGCAAAGAAACCTTTGATTCCAACAAGGAATTTAACAAACACGCAAAAGTAGAGCACGAGACAAAATTTATTTGTTTTAATTGTTCTCAAGTATTTCAGGAGAAAAAGTTCCTTGGAAGACATATTAATATACAACATAAGAGGCTCTGTCAGTTCTGCGGTAAAATTTTTAATGTCAAAGAAAGTTTGGATAGACACGTTCGTGAAATTCATTCAAGTTCTCAAGAACTTAAGGATGATGAAGATGACGACGATGAGGATAAGGGTGTTTATGAGGATGAAGATGATAATGATTTAGATAATGATAATAGACCACAAGGAGGAACGATGGAAGTTGATTCGCAGGAAATTAAGCATGAAGTTGAAGACGTAGTCTTCTTGCACGAAATGTTTCAAGAATCTGGAACGACACTCTTTAAGTGTAAATTATGCGATTGCACATTTAAAAGTCTCGTACTATTTAAGTATCACGCTAGATATATTCATTTTTATGAATTTTTGTGTACGGTTTGCTGTCAATTATTTGCATCTGAAGGAGCTTGTGAAAAACACATGGAATTAACCCATACAAAAGATTTTTCTTGTAATGTATGTCCAAAGAAATTTTATGACAAAGCTGAATTGAACGAACATTCTCAGGAACACATTTGTGAAAATTTTCTACCTTCAGCTATTAATTCTTCAACATCATTTATGCCTCCAACAACCTACCTTCAAACAAATCTACCTTCGGCAATTGTACCACAGGAAGTGGTTCGTGAAGATGACGTAACCTACTTGCACGAAATCTTTGAAGATAATCATGGAACACCTTTCCTGAAATGTAAATTATGCCAAAAAATCATTTCTAATTACACATTGTTTAGATTTCATGCAAAAAAAGTGCATAAATATGAATGGTTGTGTTTGGTTTGTTGTCAAGTATTACCAACTCGATATGCTTGTGGATCACACATGAAAAACAATCATACAAGATGTTTTCCCTGTACTGTTTGCCCAAAGACATGTTTTGATTATGTTGGATTAAATGAACATTTTCGTGCAAAGCATCCTGATGAGAACTTATCATCGGGGGAATCAAAGGGATTGTTAACTATTCACGAAGTGATGCCAATTAAACCAAAGTCAATAAAATGCAAGATTTGTTCAGGAACTTTTAGTACTCAAAAATTTAATAAGCACATGAGATTACATGATGTTAAAATTTCATGTCGTTATTGTTTTCAAGCATTTTATGAAAAACGGGTTAAGAAGGAACATGAAAAACAATTTCACAGATTTTCATGTAAAGAATGCAAAAAACATTTCCTTACTGCAAAAAGTTTATCAGATCATTGTTCAAGCAAAAAACATCAAAAGGATGCAAAATCCCCGGTACAACCGCAACCGCAACCGCAACCTTCCCAATTAGAAATAATCCGATCCACGAACCCACAAAATCCAAATTTCGCGCAAGAAGAAGGTTCGAGATCAAAGAAAAAGGAATCCCCCGAATTCCTTCATGATTTCATTAAAAGTACGGAGATGGAAAACGTTTTGGCCGAATATTTACTAGCGACCTACAACTTTAAATGTAAGTTATGTAAAGAAATGTTTAGAAGTCGTCTTGAATTTAATGAACATGTTGAACAAGAACACGATTTGATACATATATGTGAGATATGCTCTCAAGTTCATTATAATGATCTATCACTACAGGTCCATAGGAAGTATGATCATTCAATCAAAGAATTTTATTGTAATTATTGTGATAGTTCATATTATCTTGAGAAAGATTTACATGATCACATTTTTGGAACACATTTAGAAAAGGATGCACAAGTAAGTATGGAAGTGGAGTACGCAAATGAGTATGAAGGATGTACTCTGATGCAAGGAGAAGTGGAGAATTATGAGGAATTTGATGATTCGGAGGAGGAGAGCGACTCATCGATCGATGAACAAAACATGATCATGTTCATGATGCACCCCGAGTTTACAAAAGGTGATGAAGGGCATAGCAAGATGCAAGAGGATGTTAATCGAACAAGGTCTGATGACGATGATGAAACTAATTTAGTTAATTATCCCAAATGTGAAGAATGTAATCTTTATTTTAGAAACATCAGATATTTTGAAATTCATAATAGAAATAATCATCATTATAATGATGACACTTCCATGATAGGACATTGAATTAGAATTTGGTGGGTAATTGGGTAGATTTTAGATTAGTTTTCATTTAGCTAGAAAATTTCTAAAAGTAATTGAATAAATTTTATCATTTTCGTTCAAATTGGACCTTTTGATCATCTTATGCACCGTATTTCTCATGAAATCTTGTGCAACAACATGTGAGAATTTGCATATTCTTATTGAAATCATTTCAGGAAATTTCCACGACAATCATTAAGATGTATATAAAATAAAAGCGGCGGGCTAAATTTTGTAAAACTTTCAGCCTCCAACTTTTTTCCTTAAGGTCTCCGTTAGGAAATTTCCTTTTATCGTAGGCAGATAATAATAATTAACTTCTCTACTTTTTCGCCATGAAAGATTCATCTCAATCCGATCTAGAATCAACACGTTTTATTCATGAAATAATCTTTCCAGAGTTAAACAATCGAATAAATTTTCCCGTACCAAAAGAAGCGTTACCAAAGGATATCATATGTAAAAAATGTAAAGCAATATCTACCGATGTAACTGAATTTAATAAACATGCTAGACAAAGACATCGTCTTCCATACTTGTGTGATATTTGTTCCAAAATATTTGATAGTAAAAAGGAAAAGGCTGATCATTTAGAGAAAGAACACGTTAAGGAATTTCGGTGTGAATTTTGTACCAAAACGTTTTGGCAACAAAAGATTTTAAATGGTCACATTAAAGATAAGCATTATAATCGTAAAACCGATACTCTCGAAGTTAGAGTTGAATTTGAATTTTTGAATCAATTAAATGTTTCATCACCACAATTGAAGAGAGAATTTTTCATTCATGAAATCTTGATGGAAGAAATCAAGTTTAAAAATACACAAAAGAAGAATGAAACCAAAGAGAAGCCTACAGAAGGGTCATTGGATACCTCAACTTTGACGGAAATCATTTCACCACCCGCGACATCATCCACCTCACCCTCTGGATCAAAAAAAATGAAATGTAAATTATGTGAGGAATTATACGATGATAATGTAACGTTTAATAAACATGCAAAGAATTCACATGGTTATAGAATTTTATGCAAATTTTGTTCCCAAGTCTTTTTTGATAAATCCACTTTAGAATTTCATCATATGATTAAACATGATAAAAGTTTTTTTTGCAGAGAGTGTAGTAAAAAATTTTGGGAACAAAAAAATTTAGATGAGCATTATATTGATAAGCATCAGAAATATTAAAGGTAAATAAAATATACGAGATTGAAATATTTTCATAATTTCGTACAATGATTTTTTAAGTTCAAATGTTCAAATCAATTAATTCAACGATTCTTTTCATTTATTATAACATTTCTATTATTTCTTTTCAACGAAAGAAGTACTATTTTATATTTGTTTTTCACATCTTAATTTTATAAATAAAAGTTTAGAATAAAAAAAAAAAAAATATTGCGTCATGCTAGATTAATTGTATAATAGATTTGTGTCCCGATTTGCTAAATGAAACATTACAATTATGTTTAACATTTTTATTTTTTCATTCGAAAAAAACATCTTTAAAAAATGTTTTTAAAAAAATTTTTTAATTTAACGCTTGATGTAATCAAACTTAAAATATAACACAAATTAATTCGGATTTGGTATGCCGTAATAATTTGATTTTAAGCTCATGACACAACATCTACTCTGTACTATGTACAAAGAATTACATTTATAAAAATTCATTAATAATAAATAATAAATAATGATATTCTTTTCTTTAACAGAAATTCTTGGAACTTCACAGCTTTTCCTATCATTATAAAATTGGTTAATTATAATGGCAACGGGTATCATCTTACCGTATTTGATCTAGGTCCTTTCTTTTTTTGCACATTGATTTGTTAAATTGTTACGCGCATTACATTATATTTATATAGATAACACAATAATCCAAAATAAGCGGTTTTCGTTTTATAATTTTAATGATTTTTAATACAAACGCATTCTTATTCCTTTAATTTAAAATGATTCAGAGTTCTTCCGGTCATTCATATTCATCCTCATTTTTTGATTATTTTGATCTGAGTGATAACTGCAGACTGTCATGTAATCCGGATGACTCATATTTATGGTTATATTACATAGTAATAGTAACTTGCATTATATTAAACTTGTTCGCTTTCGGTTTATTAATATATAAATATTTTCATGATCATATTCCTTTATGGAAGGATTATATCTTTGTACCCATAACCGGTTTCCTTCTTTGGCTTACTTTACACTCTTTATGTAAGTATCATAAAAAGAAAAGGGAATTATCATTCGGATTCTTGATTTTTTTTTAATTTTTTAATCCTCTTTCTTTTTTCTTCTTTAGTTAGGGCTGTACATATGATAAACGTTGCATTTAAGTTATTGCCCAATGATGTAATTCTAACGAGCTTTATGAATTCTGCAAGTTGGACTTTTGGTCAATTCGCAATCGCAACTTACATTGTAGGGATGTAAGTATAAATTAAAGACTGCATGGATTTTAATTTTCCCATGAATATACGCCAACTTCTTTCTTCTCTTACGTAGATTTAAATTAATACCAGATCTGACACTTTATCGAGCAACAGCAAATCGTCTCGACAAAAAATGTAAACAGACAGCTTTCATTCCGTCAAATCAATCGATCTTGCTTATATATTGGTCATTTATAATAATTCTGGGAATAATCAATTCCATTTTTTCGTGTTTAAGGGGATACTATGTTCAAATACAAGATCGACGGATGTATATGATTAGTCACAGTTGTATCTTGATTACATATAGCATTGCTAATTCCGCTTGTGTATTGTGCTTGTTTAAGTATGGAAGGTTATTAGTTGAATTGACTATAGAATGCGTTAGATTGATAGGTGAAGCAGATGATTCTTTGAAAAGTAAACAACTTTCAAAAAAAGCTTTCCTTCAAAAGGTAAAGCCTAAGTTACGATGCGATGTATCCCGATTAATCTTTTATCTTCTCGATTAACTCGTTTCTTTTATACGTGTATTACAGTTGAAGATTATAAACTTTACTTTAACATTGGCTGTAAGCTGGTCTGCCATCTCTTGTCTCTTTTGGGCTGTTGGAATTTTATTCATAAAAAAAACGTTTGAATCAGCTCATCCTGCTAAGTTTGATAAACCAAATTGGTTCTTCTATTATGATGATGTTTGTTATACTTTATGGGTGAGTAAAAAGAGAATTCCATATCGAAAAAACTTTTTTTTTTTTTCTTACCAAATTTATATATTTTATAGTGAGTTTTATCCAAAAAGTATGAATGATACTGAAGAGATAAAAAGTTTTTCCACTTCTTCCTTAACATGGTCACGAAACTCGGGACAAGTAATAAGTGATGATTTAAACAGCATTTCTATACAAGAATAAACTTGAGATTAATAAAATTGATAAATAAGCATTTGTTTAATATCCTTGACGATCAAAATCGAGTCCCAAGACAAACATGTAATAACTAATATATAATATTAAAAATAAAAACTTTAATTATTTACAAATAGTTGTAATTCATTATATCTAAAGTTGCTAAATAAATACCCTAAAGTTAGCCAATCATCTTAATCTTATTCAAAAATTTATAAAACTTGGTAAAATATTAAAATTTACAAAAACCAGTAAAATTACATTTACAAAAAATCTATATTTTAAAAGTATATTTATTAAAATTAAACATAAAATTATATAAAATTTTAAATATAATTATATAAGTTTATATAAAATTACAAGTTAATATAAATTTTACATAAGTCTATATTAATTAAAATTTTAGATCTTATATAATATAGTATTAAATTAATATTATTTTTATTAAAGTTAATACATAATAATACAATTTTATTTAAATATTTTTAAAATATTTTTTAATAAATACAAGTTATATAATATATATAAACTTTTTATATAAATTAATATAAAGTTATATATTAAAATTAGTTTAATATATAATATTAATTTAGGCATATTTTTCTTTGATTTTAAATATTTTAAAAAAAATTTTAAACATAGAAAAATGTATTTAAACCATTATTTATTATCCTATTATATTTTATTTTTACTAAATTATCTAAATTATCTACAAAATTTAAAAAATATTATTTGTAATCCTTATATAATATTCAAATACTTTATATATAAATAAAATTCTCTTATTTTATATTATAAAATCAATATTTTATATAAAAAATATATTAGTATTGATATTTTTTATTATAAATAAAATTCATATTAATGTTTATCATTAAAAAATTGTTTAATATTTTATTATTAAAATTAATTATTATTTTAAGTTATAATATTTATAAAATAATTAATTTAAATTTATATTTTAAAGTATATATTTATAAATTTTTAAATTTTATAATTATTATTTTTTTTAAAAAAAATAAATAAATAAATTCTATAAGATTAATAAAAATAAATAATTTTTTTTTATTATTTTTTTTTTTAAAAAAATAATCTAATAAATAAAAAATTAATTACTTATTTAAATTAAATTCTTTTTATCTTTAAAAATAAGAATGAAAAATAAAGAAAAAATATGAATATGAAATATAAGAATTAAGAATATAAAAAATAGGAAATGTGAATATAAAATATTAAAGAAAAAAAGAAAATATTATAGAAAAATCAGAAAATAAATAAATAACTAAAATAGATATAATGTTATAAAGTCAAGAAATTATAAAATGATATATCATATAATCCTTTTCAATAAAATATATAATAATTATAATATTAGAAGATTAAAAAATAACCAATTACATAGAGAATTATAAAAAAAAAATAATTAGTTAAAGATCACATTATAGGTACAAAATATATGATGATAAACTATATGATAAGTAACTAAAATTGCTTATTTAAACTCATTTTAGATTTAATAAAATGTTTAAACTATAATTTTACTTAAGGTTGCTAGATGAAACCTAAAGTTTTGTAAGTTGTTTAAATAGAAAAAAGGTAAAATTTAGTGAAAAATTCTGAAAAAGGTAAAACTATATCAAAGCTTATAAATTACAAAACTATATTAAAACCTTAGTAAAAAATTAGCAAAATTATAATTTAAACATTTTATCAAATTTAACATGAGTTTAGACAAGTAATTTTAATTTTATTAATTTTTACTAAAGTTTTGATAGAGTTTCACATTTTTATAAACTTTGATATAATTTTACTTTTTCTAGAATTTTGCAGAATTTTTAATAAAATTTTAATATATTTTGCTAAATTTTACTTTTTTACATTTAGATAAAGATTTTATCTAACAACCTTATTCCTTCAAGCATTTTATAAACAAATTTTCCTGTAATTTTATTTAATAATTAAAATTATTTATAATAAATTTAAATATTTTTAAAATAATTTATTTAAAAATTAATTATTTTGTAATAAATTTTATAATATTATCTAAATAAAAATTCAAAAATAATATAATTAATTAGTGATATTTTAAAGATAAATATATAATAAATTATTATAAAAAAAAAGTTAAATTTTTAAACTTATATATTTTACTATATATTGATCTCAAAAATATGAAAATATAATTATTTAATAGTTTTTAATAAGATAAATCCAATAAACTAAATTTTATTTTCTTGTAATTATTAAATAATAAGTTATTTTAAAAATTTGAAAAATTAAAAAATTAATATATATTAATAATTATTAATTTTAAAAATTTAAAAATACTATCATTAGATAAATTTTAATATGAAAAATATAATAAATTTTATTTTATCTTTTTATAATCATTAAATATTAAAATATTATAATTTTTCTATAATATTTATAATTAATTTATATTTATGCTTTAAGAGATAAGTAACATAATATATAACATGACCAGGAATATGAATAGATTATAAAATACAAATAAATTATATGAAAAAAAGTAAAAATAAATTATATAACAATAAATAAGTGATTAACCATAATAATATAATAAATATAAAACTCAATTACATAGAATATAATAGATTCAATAATAAATAATAATAAATATAATATGAATAATGAATTAATCATAAAATTTGAAAAAGTAAATAATTAAATAGTTAAAGAACTTATAGAATAAAAAAAGAAAAAAAAGAAACCTAAGAATATATACAAATATTATATAAAGTTTTAGATGAAAAACTTATAAGATGAAATCATAAAATACTTATATAACTTTATTACTAAAAAGAAAATTAGTAAAAATAACTAAGTAAGAAATACAAATATATATATAAATATGAAGAAAAGGAAAAATTCAATATAAAGAACTAGAGAAATGTGAAGAAATAAGAAATAATTATTGAACACTAAGGAAAATCTAAAAATAAAAATGATATAATAATATCATAAAAACATATAATTATATTAAGTTAATAAAAATACATAATAATCTTTAAATAATAAATGAGAAAGAAAATAAGAAATAATAAGGGAAGAATTGAAAAAGAAATAAAAATTAGTATTAAAATAAAAAGTTAAAAATAAAAGATAATATAAGAATTAAAATTTAAAATTATAAGAATATTAATAAAAATTAAAATAAATATAACATAATAATATAAAAAATGTTAATAAAAAATAATGTAATTAGGAATTAAAGATTATTAAAAGAAAGATTAAAATTAAAAATTATGGAAATTAGAATTTATAAAAAAGAAAAAGAAATAAAAAATATAAATATTAAGGAAATAGAAAAAAATCTACAAATTGATTGATGTTAAATTTTATATAAATAAAAATAGAAATTTTATAATATAAATCAATTAATCATATAACTTTAATTACAGTATATAATAATAATAAAAAATTATATATAAATTTAATATTTAGAAAAGAATAATAGATTTAATTTAATTTAGTATAATTATTAGAATAAATCTGAATATTATGAATAATCTAATTCAGATATATAAATCTTAATAAAATTAATACTGACAAACCTCTTTATATATTAATAATCAGTAGATGAAATAATGAAAATTTATTATTATTATTAATTTATAAAAACTTTTATTTAATAATAAACTAAAAAGAAATTTAATAAAAATAATCCATAAAATGAATGAATAAACAATAGGAAATAATATATTAGCAAACTAATTTGTCACATTAAGTTAAGTAAATATATGAGATATTAAAAATTTCTTTGATATATTCATTATTATTATTAAGTTTTATAACCTTAACTAAATAATAAAGTAAGTAAAATATAATGAAATATGAACTATATAAAATAAAAACAAATAAAAATAAGAAATATTATAAATAATAATAAAAAGATAATTTTAAAATAATTGAATGGAAAGTCTGAAAAGAATAATTATAGAAAAAATCAAAAATAAAAAAATAATTAAGAAAGATTATAGAAATAATAAAATGATAAATTATATTAAAGAAGAAATAAAAGATGATTATAATAAAATATGAGAGTAATAAGAAAGGAGATTTTGAAATTTAATAAGAAAAAAATTAACAAAGAATTAAAATAAGAAATATTAATTATAATGGATAATAATAAAGGAACAAATTATAATTCTTAAACAAATAAAAATTAATTTGTAAAATAAATCCTTTTAATGATAAGTAATAAAAATACATTAAGTAGATATAGCTTTTGTTAAAATTATTAAACTTATAAAATATTAAATTTTTGTAAAATATAAAGTTTAATGATTATAATATAATAATAAAAAAATAATAAAAGAAATTAGAAAATGAAATAGAATAAAAATCAAAATAGAATTAAGAAATAGAATTAAAATATAAAATAAACATTTTTATTCTTGATAATAAAATCTATATAGCATAATTATATTATAATAAAAACTAGAATTATAATAATTACATATATTATTCTTTCATTAAAATACTTTAATAATATCAATATTGATAAATTCTTTATTATATTAATATATCAATAGATAAAATAATAAAAACCTTTTTGTTATATTAATACTTATTATTATTATTAAATTATGAAAAATATAAACTTAATTATAAATTAAAAAATAAATAAATATAAACGAAATAATATTAATTAAAAAAACTAAAAAGAATAATAAATATAAATATATATATTATTATAATCATATATTAATTAATAAAATTATATTATAATTTATTTAGGATTAAAAATATTATTTAAAAAAAATAATAAACAAGAAAAGATAAAAAAGAAATAATAAAAGGAAAACTTAAAAAAAAGATAAAATAAAAAATAATAGAATAAAAAAGTTTTAAAAGAAAAGAAATAAAGAAAATAAAAGAATATTAAAGTAGAAATAATATTATAAAATAATTACTAAATAATAAAAAAAAAATTAAAAAATGAATAATAATAATAAATAATAATGAATTATAATTATTAATAA